AAAAAAAAAAAAAAAAATTATCCAAAAAATCTCAAAAATCTCAAAATGTGACTCTTGATTTGAGAAAATCTCTCCATTGATATCTTTATTATCCTTATTAATTATTTAAGTTTAATTAATTAGTTTTTATTTAGTTTAACTAATGACGAGGCATATGGGCCACACTTCAGGAGATAATTTTAACAAGTTAATGATGGTGTTTAGGAAAGTATAAAAAATATTTATTTAAGAAATATTTTTTTATAGATTTATAATTCTGCTAGGAAAATATTTAAAAATTGGTTTTTAAAAAAATTTTTAAGCAAATTTTAAAAAAATTATAGACCTAAATTTTTCCAATTTTGCTTTAAAATACCTTTAATTTTTAAACTTCTCTCCCGTAAAATTCTAAATTTATGAAAAAAAAAAGTACTTTTAAAACAACTACTTAAAATTTGCCAAGCACCTTCATTCATGATGGCATGGTCAAACTTTCAACAGAAAGAAAACAACGTCGTCTGTTTGTTCTAGAAAAGTTCATATTTTGACAACTGGATTTAATTTCTTTATTATTATTATTATTATTGTTTTGGTTTTTCTTTTCTTCAAAGCTTTAACCTATCATTATCAACAGCTACTTTTTTCAAACTCACTGGATATTTCTTTGCAAAATTCAATTTGAGACCTTTGCAAGATTAATTCGAGTTTTTTGAATTCGTCTGAAATCTATCAAGCATAGTATTGACTAGGACTTTAATTAGTTGTTTTGTGCATCAACAGAGACACGAAACACTGATATATTCATTCGATACATGGTTAATAATATTATACAAAATAAATTACAATGATCAGATGAAAGGAAGAAGGGAATTTGTACAAAATTAAAGGATAAAAAAATTTGTACAAAGGGGGCATTAGATCAGACGAAAGGATGAAGAAGGGAAATGAAAAATAACAGAAACATTTGTTCACTTTTTCTTCAAACCTTGCTTTGAAACTAAGCAACATATGGATGGCTTGGAGGTCGAGTTGCAGGGATGTGATCATCCTTCATAAGAAAGTAGAGACTCCATAAAGCAAGGTGTTTTGTCCAACTGGGGAGAAAGCTGGAGGGTAGAGATCAGAGGCAAGATAATGGGATAAGGATGAGCTTGGATTAAGAAGAAAATTCAAGGAATCAAGGATGAAGAAGAAGATAGTGGTGATAGGAGCCATTGGTTTTACAAGTTCAGGTCAACCAAAGCATCTTTGTTGCTTTTAAAGCACACGGTTAGAGAATGACCCATTGGTTTTCTGGAAAGGTGGCTATAGTGTATAGAAAAAATTATTGGAATGATAAAGGGTTGCTTCCAGATGGGGAAAGGGATAGTGGTGGGTCAGCAGAAAAACGTATATATGCCATAATTGGGTTTTTTTCTGCTTTTTTTAATGGATAGGGTAACTATAGATTAATTTATGTATATTTGAATTTTTTTTATTTCATTCAAAGACAAATCATCAATGATAAAATTAAATAATTTATAAAAAATTATATGTTTATTAACATTTTTAAAAATTCAAAATTTAATTAACAAGTTAGAGAACAGATTTTTTTTCTAATTAAATTACATCTTTCAAATTATTTCAAAGAGTTTTTTTCCCTTTTTTCTTTTGCATTTTTGAAGGTTTAAATTTAATTGAATAAAGGGAAGGTGAAAAATCAAGGTAGAATTTGTTTGAATTTTCTAGTGCGTTAATTAAAAATCATAAATAAAGTTTACAAGATATCAAATGTTGCAGAAAATAAGATGTTTAAAAAAACTATTATTACAAAACTTGGGGGCCATTAGGGCTGGTATAAATTGCTGCAAAACAGACTTATCAGGCTTCAGTAAGTTTTCGGGTTTTCAATCCGAACAAGTTTTCAAATAGCTTGAGAGCCATGGAAGGAAGGTTCATGGGCTGAGGAGCCATAAAATTGACAATCTTCTCATGAACATGATACCTGGATGTCATATAAAAAGAAATATGGAACATTAGAGACTGCCCCAGATTAAGATGTTGAACCCAAATTGTGCAGTACTGATTCAAGAATTTTACACTACTGACCTGATCTTGCGACTCTTTGAGGCAGGGCGATCAACTATGTTTCTCTTCTTGGTTTGTAGTCTTTTCAAGGCATAGAAGAGCCTCTATGAACAATGAATGATGAAAGAGATGAATAAGTGCTGACTACCTCAAAGCTATTTCTAGCATACGGCCATTGTGTGCAAAATCTGGCCATTAAACCCTGCTTCTTAGGATTTGGTGGGAGAACAAGAGTAGAACACCTTAAGGCAACTATAAGTACGAGCCAAACTATGAATGCAAAATGCAATGAGACATGACAGATGGCCTATAGATGCAGCTCGAGCTAAGTGAATAAAGAGCATTTACAAGACGAAATTGAATTACCAGACGATGTTGGGTCAATTTTCTCAAAAAATTCCTTCAGCAATTGCTGGTAAAATTGGAAATAATCAAGGAGTTCGGGATCACCTTCAGGTTGTGCCTACTGAGAAGAAAAAGAACCAATTGGTCTTCCATGGCAGATTTCAGCTTCTATTTTCACCAGGTAAACATTAAATGACACATGTCCACTATTCAGCAATCAAAACAGACTGAGAAAACAACCCATGCCCATAACATTATAACGCATACTTGATTTTTTAGGAATCCAATGAGACAGATTACCTCTCCATTTGCATTACCAATCCCTATGAGAACCTGCCCAAGTAAGCTCTAGTTATCAGTAAAACAAAAGCATGGCTAACAATTGTGCATTAAAAATACACCTCATCCATGTCTAAATTGTATCCTCAAACTATAAAGGATATTTATTAACTAACAGTCCCGTATGTGCTAACAGTTGATCTTCTTTGTTGCATTTGCTTTATCATTCTACTTGGAATCCTCATATAAGCAGCAACTCGTTCACTAATATTCTGCCAATGGGGGGAAAAACCTTAATAAGTCTCATTTCACAACTCTTATAGGGCATGCATGTCAGCTCAGTCATGAGACCTAACCTGATCAAAAGCTTGCAATTTGCTTTTGATGGCAGCAGCACTGTAACTAGAGTCTTTCTCTGCCATTTATCAATAGATTTGTCTCTGAAAGATGCAATTCTGCAAGATGCAAGCATATCAATGACAAAAGAAAAATGTCATTTGTCCCATCACATTCACAGAGTATGATGCACACAGCAACATGATATCGACAAATTGTTAAGGTCACCTGAGCTTTGATGAAACAAAAAGGAAATTATTCGAATGCTACAGCAACATCTGATCGCTAATAGACAAAATCCAATTCTGTTCAACTAGAGAACAAGAAAAAAGAGATCAAGCAAAGCAGGGGATCTGAAGATATTCTACCTGTTGCTGTTCGTTCTATACAAAACACTCAAGTCAATGAAACAATAATATCAAATTTCAGAGTATACCACCTATCATCATATAGGTTACGGCATGTAGGCGTGAATAAATTTAAGGATATTAATTTGAGAAAAGAGTTAAAATTAGCATTACATAGTACTCATTTAGGATTATCTTATACTTTAAATTTTTTTAAAAATATTTTTAAAACCCCTACTTTGCAATTATTTTTTTAACCCGCCCTTTTTTGGAATAATCCTTGAAAGTATGGTTCATGGTCAAATTGTTCACAACGAAGAAGGATGTGGTAATGTGTTGCAGAATGATGTTTGAGAGAATATACAGCTTTGATAATAACCACTGATAAGTACCTTTTATGCATTTGAGAAATCCTCAACCATTCTTCATCACCTTCCTCATACCTGTTTGTAGGATCACTAGAATGCTTTTTAGATGATTGCCCAGAATTACCTAACGGGACATAAGAGGTCAGGACAAAAGTGCACTATCAAGATTGTTTCATAGTTGTTGAGAACCTGAATTATACACTCCCTACACAAGGCAGCATAATGAAAAATTGACAAGCATGTGCCATACCATTTGCAGATTGAGCAATTGACAGATTCTTCTCCAGCAAAGCCTAAAAAGATAGCATAGTGGTAACATGAGATAAAAGACTTAAAATGATGTATCGAATGAGCTACAAGACATCATCAGACTAGTTATTAGA